CAACACTATAATAGTGTTATTACTTTTATAACGCACTTATAACTTTTATAATTCATTCTTTATTAAATCAACATAAGTAATCACAAATTTTAACTGAATTGGAAAAGCATCTAGAAAAATAGATATTTAAATAATATTTAAAGCTTAAGGGACTTATAAAAACAACTTATAATAAACACTTCATAAAAACGTAATGTATAAAAATTTTAACATTATGAAAAACGTTACTAATGGTCCGTAAAAATGCGCGCTAATTTTAAAATCAACCAATAAAAATTGTTTAAGTGTTTTGTAAAAGTTGTTAAAGTGATTTGTAAAAGTTAAAAATTTGTATAGTTTAATTAAATTTGTAAAAGGTTTTTAATAATTTTTGAATATCCGCTTTATTTATTCTAGATGCTTTTCTACTTTAATTTATGTTTGGAATTAATGTTGTTTGAACAAAGAATGAACCTTAAAAGTAATAAGTGCTTTATAAAAGAAATAACACTATTATAGTTTTATTACTTTTATAATGCAATTAGTGACTAAAGTGTTATTACTTTTGTAGTCGGAAGTTTAATGTTCTGCTTTGTTTTTTAATAAATTTCTTGCTAACAAACTTATAATTATTTGCTCCTTGAAAACAAAGTACACAGCTTTGCATAAACTAAAATTTTGAAGACCAGATATTTTTCCAGAGTTTACAAATCGCATTTGCCTAATTCAACCCTTAATATATACTTGTAACATTAAAATTATGCAAATATATTTTACAAGCAGATGATGGAACATATTTTTGCTTTTCTCTTTAAAAAAAAACAACAAATAAAATATAGGCTAGTCATTCTTTTTAATGTTTAAAACTGTTTTTTTTTGCTTTGATTTAATGAATTTTGTTGCCGAAAATAATAGCCACTATGAAGAAACAAAAATAAAAACAATTCACAAATTTAAACTACTATTATTTTCTATTTAAGTTTATTTTTCCTTTTTATTATTTCCTATTTTGTTATTTATTACTATTATTTCCTATTTTGTTATTTTGCTTTTTTTGTTTTTAAAACTTTTTAAAGCAACTCATATAATAAAACTTGCAAACGGATGTGACCAAGTTGTCTAAATTAAAATATTCATGCGTGGTCATACAAGACAAAAAATTGCACGCCTTTCCTGGGAAGACTTTGAAAGTGGTAATTAAAGTGCAAAAATGAAAAATGAAAATATAGAGCTTATTAATATATAGAACTTATAAGAAAAATTAAACGCTAAATATTGCTTACAACAACAAAACAAGTTAGATGGTTAAACAAAAATATCAAACTTGTTGATAACTTCTATAACTTTAGATAAATTTTTTGAATAAAAAATACCAGAGTTATTATTGCGTATCAATCCCTCGCCACTGAGTGTTTGTTGAGTTCGAATATTTGTTGATTGATGGTGGTTGATAGGATTACTAAAATTCGACACTTGACTTAATTCTTGATGTTTAGTAAAGCTTTTATTTTGAAACCTTGGACCAACAATATTAGATGATTTTCCATTACGAGTATTTTTTGAATGACGAGTATTAGTAGTAAAACCATCATTAGAAACATTGCTTACACGAGTCACAGCACTAAACAATTCTTCTTCCCCAACATTACTGTCAATTGCCTCATATTCATTGCAGTTTTGCATTTCACGAGCAATTCTCTCAGCCCTTTGTTCTTGTTCTTTAAAAGCTTCATCATCACGTCTTTCAATTGGTGTCCTAATTCATTTAAATAAAAGTGTAAAAAAGATTGTTAAAAGTTTAAAAAAGGAATTAAGTAAAATTTCAAAAAACTTCATTTATTCAATATCAATAAAATCTATTTTTACTCACATGTAACTATTTAAACTACTATCAAATGTTGATCGCACACCATGTTTTTCTTCATTTTCACGATACATATCATCCACATTCCAAGAACCATTCTAAATATTAATTAATTACATCAAATTATATTATTCAAATTTTAAAATATTCTTGAATGATTAGAATTTATTATGTATTATTCATGTATTTCTTAAATGTATTATTATTTTGGTGTTTTTATTTTTACTATTTTTTTGTTTACATACATTAACTGAAAAATAGGTAGGACATGTTAAGAGTATTGCTACATTGACTGACAAATAGGTAGAACTATTCGATGCCCCCTTTCTTCCAAGAAAGTGGAAAGTGTTTAAATAATCCATGTTTTCATAGTGAAAAAGAAATTGTTTTATTTATACAATTTATTTGATTAGTTCAACTCAACCTTACTTCCCAGCACTTTCTAATCACATCCCATCAGAAAGTCATTTTAAAAAAAGTTAAAAAAAAAACTCTTATCTATTTTATAAATTTCCGACCACCCGGATCTTATTACGACCTGTCCCAGTTTATTAATATTTAAAGAAAAAAAAGTTTTAATGTAAAATTAAAAAAGAAAATTGTCTATACTGTTTAATACACTGGCTTGATTACACAAAAATGTTTATAACGTAATAAGTATCTTTATTATAGATATAATAAAAAAAAATTCTTATGGTGTTTTTAGAAGTTTTAGAGGGTTGGATTTCAAGAAAGTTCTTTAAAGTTCATAATAACATTATAGACAGTCATATTACAACAACTAAGTTAAAAAATCTCTTAAAACAGATATGCGGAATAACATCTGAGATGATTTTAATAAATTTTATTATTACCTTATAACTGTATTTTTTAAATAATAAATGGAAAACACTTTTTTAATGCTGATTTTTTTTTTAATGGTTATACGGTTAATCTAAATATATTTTCATTAAACTCAATGAGCTATTTTGATTTTTTATCTTACTTAAAACTCTGCGAGAAAAAAACTGTGAAAGAAATGCAAGAGAAACCTTTTTTTGGTTTGTTCATTAGTGAAATTTATTTTTTGCGTAATTTATGGACGATCCCTAATCTAAAAGTTGAGCCAAAAAATAATGGAGTAAGTACTATTTTGATGGTTTGAAATCCCAACTTTTTTAACCAAAAAGCAGGGCCCTTAAAAATTGAAATATAATACCAATTTTTTTCTATGAACTCTAAAAGGCCTAAATATTAATTTGGAATTGGTTGGGAAGTTTACAATAAAAAAGTATATATTAATTTAGGTCAAGAAAAATAGCTTAAAACGCAGTATAATCTTTAACTATATTTAAATAGAATGACGCTTGCAATCGAATTTAACTCACGTGTGGCACAAAGACAACCTTTCTTTATCGAACTATTTATTCTAAAAAAATTAGAAAAGATTAAAAAACGAATTCGTGCCATACTTCTACTTAAGCTAAAAATATTTTTTTTATTATAAATTTATTTATTATTTTAACATTTAAAAATCAAAAATAAAAAGAAGATTTGAAAAAGTAAAGATGCTACCAAAAATTACTAGATCACTTTTTATTTGAAGAAAAAAAAGTTTGCCACAAATGAGGAAATTATTCTTTATTTTCATTACAGGTATGATTAAAACATGAAACTGATTAAAAATTATCATTCAATATATTAACTAAGTAATTAAATTTCAGTTTGAAAAACAAAATATATAAAATCTAAATTTAATCTTAATAACTCAGGCGTCTGTTAGACAAAAATACTCCCACCAAAACTTTGATTGGTTGTGTTTCCCAAGATAAAATGATATCAGCATGCTCTGAACTAGCATTATGTCCTCAGAACTGCATCTTTTTTGCAACAAAGAAACCTTGGATTATTGGAGGATATGACGGTGGCATATTTCATGACAAACACATCAGGTTTGCTAAATAATCTATAATTAGAGTTTTTTTATTTTTACTAAATTTTACTTTTGCTTATATTAATTTGTTTACATAACACTTTTCACTCTGCCTCTGATATGAGGCTACATTGAAAAGTTTTAAAGCAATTAGAAAAAAGTTAAATAAATATTACATGTTCTAGGAAAAAATTATACGTTCTAGAAAAAAGATAGAAGAAAGAAGATTGCAATATTTAACATTTATTGAGCAACAAGAGGATGAAACTGAGAAAATTGAGTTTTTATCATCAGAACAAAGTGAGGTCTCTTCTTGTCAAGAATCCGACTATTCAGCAGGCGAAATTAAATCAGGTACTAGTGCTTCAAAAGTATCACCTAAAAATTTGCAAAAGAAGTTGCAATTATAGGTGTTTCTAAAAATATTTCACCTAGATTTCTTGCTTTCTGAATCTACTATCAGACGTGCAAAAAAGAAAGCAATAAATACAAGTGCAGCTAAATATTGAGAAGATATAATAAAAGCTGCAAGTCAAAGTAAATTTTCAATAATCACGCACTTTGATGAAAAAATCTTGCAGGATATTACTAACAGTACAAAACAAAAAAGATTAGTTTTACTATTTGAATATTTACCAAAATAGTTTTGCTATTCTCGTAAATATCGATGGTGATTCAAGACTTGGGATTCCGCCTATGGAAATCGGTACTGGAAAATCTCATCATGATACTTTAATAAACATTTTTGATGAATATAAGCTAAGAACTTATATAAAGGGACTGTGCTTTGACACAACTGCAAATAATACAGAAAAATATTCCGGCACAAACATTAGACTTTGTCAAACATAGGTTTCAACTATATTACAGCTTGCATGTCGAAGACATGTTTACAAGCTTCACTGTAAACATTTTTAGTAAAAAGTTCACATTGGTAAAACTTATGCTCCTGAAAATCTGATGTTTAAAATTTTCCAAGCTAATTGGAATGCAACCAAGGAAACTATGGGTAAATCAAAGTTCAAAAAGTTTGACAAAGCTGCAGTTAAAGGAACGTATCTAGAAAAACAGATTGAAAAAATTGTTCAATTTTGAAATATGCACTTGCCAATTTAGTATTTCCAAGAGGTGAATATAAAGAACTGCTACAACTTACACTCACCTACTTATGTCCAGATAAGCTTTAATGTTTATGATCTCAGATCAGTTTCCTGTGCTCGTTTTATGGCAAAGTCTATATATTATCTTAAAATTCAACTTTTAAGTAATCAGTTGTCCTACAAATTGACAGCTTGTTTACAAATTGACAGCTTGACTTTGGCTTCAAATTGACAGCTTGTTTACAAAAAGAAATCAGTAAAATGGCAGAATTTATTTCTATATTTTATACTGTGTGGTTTGTGCGCTCCTCTTTAGTTTTCTGTGCACCGTATCAAAATTTAAATGCGTACTGGCAGATGGACCAGTATAAACGTTGAGTAGAATCTTATGATCCATGAGCTAATGATGTGCTAGAGGGAATTAAAGAAGTATTGAAATCAATGGAGAGACATACGTGGTATTTGGATCAAACCTTGATTCCATTATGTCTCGCAGATAAAGAACTCGAAAATGATGAAAAGAAAAAGTTGCAAAAGTTATTTTCTCGTAACCTGTTCCTACTCACTTTGAGAAGTCTGAAAATCCAATCCTTATGAAACCACCTAGATTGTCACAGTTGGTTGGTAGGAACTCGTGGTTTATTTTTAGTCTGTTAAATTTGAGTAAAGACGATGATAAACCTTGGTTAAACTGCCCTTCATCTTTTTGGGGCTTATCAACCAATTTAAAAGAATTTGTTTGCAGAATATGCCGTCGACAACTGCTCTGAACGAGCAATTAAGCTTGTGTCAGAGTTGGTTAACTCTGTTCACAATGAAGAGAACAAGAAAGATTTTATGTTGGCTGTTCAGCATAGTAGGGATCAAATCAGGAAGTTCGAAAAACTTCAAACTATGGAGAGTGGCAAAAAAAAAAAAGGTGCTGACAAAGCATAGCTTGGAGAATATTTATTCGATTTTTCACCAAATACACGAAAAAAAGTTGGTTGAGTTATAGTTTGACAAACTGTTTTTGAAGAAAATTTTTTTTGATTATTTACTAATTTATCATTGTTGACCTTAACAATATTGTTTTATACTTTTTTTAGCAGAAAATTTATTATTTTACCTTGACTATCCCAGCTACATGATATTCAGGAAAATAAAGTTGTTTCATTAAAACGCTTATTTTGCAGCGCCTATATGAAAATCTTATCAAACTATATGTAAAAATAAAACTTCAAAGCAGATGGTACAAAAATATTCTGTAAAAACTCTCTTCCGCCCACCGCTAACCCTCCAATAGGGGTCCCTATATTCGAAATTAATTTTAAAATTGAATTTTGGATCAAATTAATCTTTGTAAATAAGAATTTGATAAAATTTGTCACGAAAGTTTTGAGAGATAAAAAAATTGGTCAGTAGATATATCCATAAAATTACCTAAAATTAGAATGTTTCACCCATTTTTCCAGGGTCAAACCAATACACTTTTTAAAAACTTGTCAGTAAAAGTATGGCATGAACTCGTTTTTTAATTTTTTCTAATTTTTTTAGAATAAATAGTTCAAAAAAAAAAGTTTATGTTTGTGACACACGTGAGTTAAATTCGATCGCAAGCGTCATTCTATTTAAATATACTTAAAAATTATACTAAGTTAGTGCGTTTTAAGCTATTTTTCTTGACCTAAATTAGTATATTTTTTTTTATTGTAAACTTCCCAAAATTAATACTTAGGCCTTTTAGAGTTCATAGAAAAAAAATTGGTGTTTTATATCAATATTTAAGGTCCCCGCTTTTTGGTTAAAAAAGTTGGGATTTCGGGGCACAAATTGTAAAAGACCTTGAAAATGAGTCTCAAATTTTTTCAGCATAAAATCATTTTTATCCGACCAGTTAACTAATCCAGGTGGTTAGAATTTAGTTTAAAAAAATTGTTGAAAAATGACGCACCCTAATATATATATATATATATATATATATATATATATATATATATATATATATATATATATATATATATATATATATATATATATATATATATATATATATATATATATATATATATATATAAGGGTTTCCCAAGAAATAACTTTTTTTTTTAAATGTCTGCTCCCACCCTCTAAATGTGTTGTATATAATAAAATAATACTGGAATACAAATATTTTCGAGAGAAATATATATTTTAAAGATCCCTCAAGTCATTTTTTTTGATAATATTAGGCCGGGTCCCTAATATTGTCATAAAAAAAAATATCGTCTAAAGTATATTATGTTGATTTTTAAAATAATTTTAATGTTGCAGAGAATTTCTTGCCACCAGAGTATTTACCAAGATAATGAACTTTGTTAATTAGTCTTTATACAAATAACTAAGCTGCTGACTTCAATGGTAAGAATACTTGCTTTGTTGTAGAGTGTTTTAATTTCATTAGCTATGACTGTTGCTTTTTCAGTAACACTTGCACAATTGTCATTTTTTCATAAATAGTTGTATACTTTTAAAATATTAGCAGAAGTTGGCAGGTGATTGGTTTGGAGTGATCTAGGTTGTCCAAGAATATTATGTTTTATTATGTGTTATTTTTTTTTTAATTTTGTGCTTGTGTTCTTTCCAGAAAGCGCTTGCTGTTTTTTGTCTTGTATGTCCAGGAATGAGTACTTTATTTTGAACAATTTGGACATGGCAGTTTGCAAGTTTTATTATATAAGACATTGCGGAAAAAACTTATTTTCTTTATTTTAGAAAGCAAAATTAACCAAATAGAAAATTAAAACAAATTTAAATAGAAAAAATAAATAAAAAATTATAATTAATTATATTTTAAATAATTTGTGTAATGTTTTTATTTTTGTTTCTTTAGGGTGGTTGTTATTTTCAGAAACGAAATTGGATAAAGCAAAGCAAAGCAAAGCAAAAAAAAAAAAAAAAAAAAAAAAAAAAACAGTTTCAAGTTTACAATTAAACATTAAAAAGAATGATTTTACTATACTTTACTTGTTTTTTTAAAAAGGAAAGTGAAAGTATAAATTGTTATCTGTTTAAAAAATATATTTGTATAATCTTAATGTAACAAGTATATATTGCCCCTATTTTAATATGTCTATGTAATGCATGCATATATTTTTATGTATAATTTTTTTAATTATACAATTATAGTTATTAAATTTAAATACAAGTTTAGCTTATTAGGATGAGGTGTTTACTTCATACTCAGAATGTCTGTGGTACAAATCCCACAACTTCCATAGTTTTTTAAGCAACTTATTCAAATATGACTAATATTCAATTCAAATATACTAATGATCAATTTAATATAATCATGTAATAAAAAAAGTTATACATAAAAATATATGTATGCATTACATAGACATATTCATATAGCTACAATATATACTTGTTACATTAAAATTATATAAATAGCAATTTTTATTTTCGCTTTTCTTTTTTAAAAAAAATAATAAAATAGAAGAAAATCATTCTTTTTAATGTCAACTTAAAACTGTTTTGTTTTTGTTTTGCCTTATCCAATTTTGTTGCTGAAAATAACAACCACCCTAAAGAAACAAAAATAAAGACAGTACAAAAATTATTTAAATTATAATTTTTTTTTTTTCATTTAATTTAATTTCCTATTTTGTTTGTTTTGCTTTCTTTGTTTTAGAAACTTAGGTTTTTCCGCAACACCTAATATTAAAAAATTTGCAAACAGCCATAACCAAGAAAAAAAACCTTTAATTAAATTAAAAACTTTTAAATTCACCTCCCCAAGACCATGAAAGCCACTACAGCCAAGAAGGCTACTTTAGTTGTGGTTATAACTCCGTAACATGAACCATGACAAACAAGTGCAATGCTCAGAGAAACAAGTCGAGCAAGGTACTATCAGAGACGCGGAGGGGATCGAACTATATTTATATATATATATAAACAACTATATATATACAAGTAAGTATCTTATAATGAAGTCCAGGATCATGTTAATGTTTGCATTTTTATTTTTTTTTAAATTTTATTTAGGTGTCCCAAGAAGTTCTTACGGTCTTATCACAGCATCGCGGATGAGCATTTAATTGGAAGTTCACACCTCCTTCCTACTAATGTTGCAAAACTTTACCACAAGTGGGGTTTGAACCAAGGATCCTTTGCTTTTGAAGCAAATGCGCTACCACTGTGCCGGGACTACTAAAACTTAAGTTGCAGGGTAATAGTAAAATTTAAAAAAAAACATTTGAATTTTTTTAAGCTTGTTAGGTAGTGTTACAAGTTTTTAGAAATGTTTCATAAAAAAAATTTTTTGACCCATCTTAATATATCTACTATAGCGAATTTATATAAGCATTTGATTACTAGCTTTGCTTATCTTTATAACATGCTCCTTTTTCAGAAAAAGAAGAAAAGAATAATAAAATGATCTTCAATCATTCTATAACACTTAAATCCAGAACTAGATTTAAACATCTCATTACTAAAAATTTTTAATTTAAATTGTTTTGATTTCTTTAGGTGTTATATAAATAATATAAATAAACTTCTTTTAGAGTAATGACAAATTCAAAAAGTTCTGATGAAAAGTTAAAGGTCACTTTTTCAAATTAAAAAACATAATTTAAATGTCCAAAAAATTTCCCAAAAAACTTACTAAACAAGGATCATCTTCCAGCAAACCTGTAACACCTGATCTTTGAAGATTATCATCTTTCCACTGAACTAATTCTCGCTGCTGAGTAGATGCATTAGATGCAGCAATTGCAGCATCTGTCAACAAAGTATCTTTTTTACCAAACTCCATATCTACATCAGTAGCTTTGCAGTAACTAATGTCACGAAAATGAAAAATAAGCTTTTTCTCAGTTTGCGTTCCACTTGTTTCATTTTCTTTATTATTTAGTTTTTGACCAACATTACATAAGTGAAAATCTAGCTAAAAGTTTAGTAATTTAACAACCTAAAATTTCTATAAAATAGATTATAAAAACCAAAGCAAAAATATTTTTTAAATAAGTTTAACATCATTAGACCAAAATAATTTAAATAAGTTTCAAAGTTGAAAAATGAAAACTATTTCCACAAAAATCATAAAATATCCATCAGAAATAGAGTAAACATAATAAAAACGGCACCTACATTATTTGATACAGTCTCTAGAATTCCTTCATATACATGTCCATCTGTTTTTTCGATCTGAACTGGAAGTCCCTTGGCAAGTAAAAACAAATTACAGTTAGCAGACAGATTTGCAACATTTAAGTAATATATATTTTTCAATTTAAAAATGATATGCAACAACTTCACATCTCTATTTTTATAGACTGAATTTTTCAAGACTGCTTTTTTAGATACTGTATATGCACAGATAATTTTAAATAAAATGCTTTTTATTTATAACCTTTGAATGCAATTAAGAGTTTCACTTGTTATAAGTTTTTATTACGTAGAGCTAATGCCCTACATAATAAAAACTTTCAAAATATGAAAAACTTAAAAAACATATTTTTAACTAATTTAATTAAAAAATATCAGCAATTATTTTGAGTATATATTTATCGTGGTCAATTTCATATAAAGAAAGAATTATAACCTATTATTATTAGAAATTTGGAATAATTGTGGGAGCTGCTGCCTAACAAAAAAAAAATTAGGAAAGTTCTCTGTTAATAGGATCCCCAGGAGCAGAGACAAATTATATTCATACCTTAAATAAACCTTAAATAAGTTTATAGTTGATTTAACTTACCAAAATAAATTATTTATTGGGATACTAACAAAAACCTACTCAGCTTTTTTTCTAACTCGATTTTAAGCCTATTATAAGACTTTGCTTAAAATTTTTTTTGTTATAAATAAATCTGGTTTGTTTGATGAATGTTCATATTAAGGTTTTTAAACAATTAAATCTATGCAAAGGCTAGGGTGTTCCCCTTTTTAATTTGCGATTATAATAAAACTTTTTGCTGCATTTTAGTATAGGCCTCAGCAGGAGAAAATGAGCGCGAGAGCGGAGAAAAGCTCTCCTAAAACGAACATGGCAAGATATGCGAGCTGCTCCCCTTAACTGCTTGTTACGAGAGCTTTTGGTTTTTGCACAAGCTATCTGTTTATTTATATAAAAATTGCTTATTGAATACAAAATTTGGACATATTCTAAATAAATGCATATCTTTGTATCGTTAATGCTACAATATTATACACATGACAAGCATCATTTATTGTGCTGTGAAAAAACTTTTTAAAAGTAAATTATTTCGAGACAAAAACCGTGCCTGTTTATTATCCAATAAATTAAATTTTTTTGATCATGCGTTTTTCATTTTAGTTACAATGATAGTTTTTAAAAGAAAAAAAAATAAACTTTTAAAAGAAAAAAACTTTTAAAAAAACTTTTAAATAAAAAAACTTTTAAAAGAAAAAAAAATACTTTTGCGAGAGCTGTAAATTGCTCCCCTAAACTGTTTTAGGGGAGTGCAGATGAGAGCGAGAGCTAAAGCTCTCACTTCCCGCCGAGGCCTATATATATATATATATATATATATATATATATATATATATATATATATATATATATATATATATATATATATATATATATATATATATATATATATATATATATATATTTATATATATATATATATATATATACATATATATATATATATATATAAATATATATATATATATATATATATATATATATATATATATATATATATATATATATATATATATATATATATATATATATATATATATATATATATATATATATATATATATATATATATATATATATATATATAGGCTTTCCCAGGAAAGGCGTGCGGTCGCACGCCTTGTTTGTCCACGCATAGAATAAATTTTTCAGAAAATGTGACCGCGGCAATATTTCGTAAGAAAGCGGAAATTATCCACAGAGAATAAAAAGTAATATTAAAAAAATGAAACGAAGTCTAAACAAAGTATAAAATTGAAATGTGATGTAAGAAAAATATTTTCATAATAAAAAAAACTTAAAAAAAAAAAACTTCTTGTAACAAAAAAAAAAAAAGTCTTGAACACTTTTTTCAAAATTTTTATACTGTTGTTTTCTTTTATTAGGGTTGCTATTTTCAGCTACGAAATTTGATACAAGTCAAGGAAAAGACGACAATAAATCATAAAGTTTTCACAAAAATAAAAAGACTTGATACGTAATTTATTCACTAACTTTATCAGACAATGTATTAAAAAACTTATTCATTAGTTACGCTAGACAAATTTGGTTAAACCTTTTCATTTAATTTAGTTTTTACGAAGGTTTATGCAAAGGCAATGACTTTATTCCTTAATACTTAGACAAGAAAATAAATTGCTGTTTTAATTATTAAATATATTATCTAAGATTTTAAACATAACAAAATTTTAATGTGAAAAAAGTTCTTTCTTGACTTATTCTAAACTGATTATACTGAGTCAATGCTCGCCCTTTATTACATTGAAATTATTCAATTGCATAATTTTGTAATTACAAAAGAAGTTAAAAAAATAATTGCATTGCTTCTGTTGTCATTGTTACGAAAACAGTTCCTTCGGGACATTATTATATATTAACACTCGTTCACAATGTCAATTAACGATTGCAAAATAAGTAACTCAATCGTTTGACAATAAAATTTTCTTTCATTAAAAAAAAAAAACAACATATTTTACTAATAAATAGCAATCGTTTTCGTGTTTTCTTGCTTATCAATACATTCAAACATTAAAATCAATACATTTAAGGATTTAAATGTATTTACGAAACATTTAAAAATTGTTTATAGTTCTATCGTGAATATTAAAGTATTACTGACTGATGAAAGTCATAAACAAATTTTACATTAAAAGGTCCTTTTATTTTCTTTAAACATTATTCTTTTTCTTTTTGATTTGATTTTTCTTATTAATTTGATTTTTCATAGCTTAAATAACTACCACCCTAAAAAAATAAATAAATAAAATATAGGTAAATTTTTTTTTAATAATATACATTAATTTTTTAATTTTAAAGCACAAACAGATTTCTGTTATTTACTTTAAGATTGCTTGCATTTTTGCGGTATTTTGTTTTGGCGCGAATTCTTAAAACGCATAATAATAAAACGTGGTCAGTTAGTCAGAAAAATTTATTCTATGCGTGGACAAACAAGGCGTGCGACCGCACGCCTTTCCTGGGAAAGCCTGTATATATATTTATATATTTATATTTATTTATATATATAGATATATATATATATATATATATATATATATATATATATATATATATATATATATATATATATATATATATATATATATATATATATATATATATATATATATAATGCACAGACTGTGAAATCGTGCATTTCACGAACTGTGAAACTTTTTGCTCATTTTGTGAAATGGGTAGCACTATTGCAGGGCTTAATTTAATTTTTTATAAAGTCCCGGACAAAATGTCCGACCAAAAGTTATTTTGGTTTGACATTGTTCGATCAAATTTTTGAAATAAAATTTGAAAAAAAAATTTTACACAAATATTTACATATATTCATATTTGTTTAGTTAAAAGGAACACAGAAAAAAAATAGTTCTTTAAATGCCGAGAGTAAAAAAGTACTGCAGATGGGTTTTCTTAGACAAGCTACTGGCGTATCTGAGTTTTACAGAACCCAATTATCCAATCGAAATATATGTTATGTTTTCCCAGTTTATTTCATTTTAGGCTAGTGAAGTTGTAATTTTTTTTCTTTATATTCAGAATTTTTATCATCGTAGATCTTTTTAATTTAATTGAAATAGTTTAAATTCAATACTGAGCATTTTTTTAGATAAATTTGAAGTTTTATTTTTTTCTCGAAAACCTTGTTAGTTTACATTGAATTGCATTACCCGTTTATAAAAGTTATGGATATATATATATATATATATATATATATATATATATATATATATATATATATATATATATATATAAAATAAATAATAAGAAAAAAAATACAAATAAAGATATAGTTTAAAAAACGAATAATAAATAAAGAATCGGAAAACTCGAGTAAGACCAGGATGCCACCGAGAAACCGCACAAGCTAAAATAGAATGATTTGGATGATTATAACGTTAATATTTAAATGTATATTTTCTTAATGTTTTTTTAAAAATACTCCATCGATGAGATCTCAGCCTCTAAAAAAACACATTTGTAAAATCTTTTATTATCAAATTTTTAAAACTGCCAGCTTTTCTTTGCTTTTCAGTGTCCACAGCGTTTGCATTAATCAATCAAACATACTTTTACTTACTTTGTAAAACAAAATATTTTTTAAATGAGAGTTTATTCACTCTATAAAAAAAAAAATAATAATTAGCTACACCAACTTTCCCCATTTTGATATAATTAAACTTTTTTTTAAGTTTCTTTTCATTATTGTAATCTCATCTTTTGACTTCTTGAAAAAACTTTTACATAATTGAAATATCAGTAGAATTCAATAATGCTACAATTTTTAGATTAGGCGCTTTTCAAAAGTTAATTTGCTCATTCGCATTTTATAATATTCATTTTGCGATCGTTTTAAATAAGCAATAATTTTAAATTTATTATATAACAATAAAACTGTTAAAGAACAGTCATTAAAACTACAATTAATAACAGCACTTTTTCTGGAAATGAATGCCTCCATTATCAACATATTTTATAAGTTTGTCTAACAGTTTATATTAAGTTTAATTTTGTCAATTTCAAATCAACGAATTAAATTTTATTTTAAAGTATTGAAAATCCTGCCGGACAAAATGACTGATGGCTTTGTAAATTGATTGGAAAATCTGAGGTTTTAGCCGGACAATGTCCAATGTCAGACTATTAAATTAAGCCCTGTATTGCGCAGATTGTGAAATGTTAAACTTTTATTATGTTTTTTTAATACATACTCGGCATAACAAATATTATTTATAATAAATAATGTTTTTTTAATTAATAGGCTGCCTGGCCAACCCAAACTCTCAGTCGATGTAGCAGCACTCCTTTGCGAGTCAGGCTATTTGTCAGTCGATGTAGCAGCACTCCGTTGCGAGTCAGGCTATAAGATAGTTGATGTAGCAGCACTCCGTCTAAGTTGCAATTTCTTATTTAAGTCAATATTAATATCTATTATACATAGTATAATAATATATTAAAAAAAAATACCTGTAAAAATTTAACATTTCACAATCTGCGCAACAGCGCTATACATTTCACGAAATGAGCAAAAAATTGCACAGTTTGTGAAATGTGCAATTTCACGATCTGTGCGTAACATACATACTTTTACTTGTATTAACTTAAAATAATACTTTTTTCGAAATCGAAAAAAAAAAAAACCCACCAGTACAGATAAAAATTTGGTCCCAGCTTTCTAAAAATGCAAAAAATTCAAGTTTTTGCATTTATAGTAGGGGCAGGGTCACTTTACAAAATTTCAAAAAATACATTGAAAGTTATTTTTGTAGCTTGATCTATCTACTTTTAGATTATGTTTTGTTTTTTGGTAAAAATTATAGGAAGAGTTGATCTTAATCATTTGCAATCATGTGTATATGTGAGAGGTTGTCAAAAAAGAATTTTGTGAAAATTTTTAAATTTTTTTGTAAATAAAAAAAATGTCAACAAGCAATTGTTAAAACAAAATATCTCATTCTGAAGTTTTTCATGTTGGAAAAAGAATTGAAATTAAATATAACACATCACACATAATACATAATCAATAACACTTGCTTAAGAAAATTATTAAAAAAACTGCAGTACAGAGGTTATCCTGTGTTAATTTTACGAACATTTATACAATTAATACAACTTCATGCCTATTTTTTTACGGCTTAATGTATTGAAATAGGAGGTTGTCTCATGGTAAAAAAATTTACCATGTGCCCTTTATTAGTGAAGAAAATACTAACATCTCAGATGTTTACTATATTATAGTAAAATGCTTATAAATTTACAATTCAATCCAAATTTAAATTGACTTAATAATATAGTAATATGTAATATAGATATAATATAGTAATAATATAGTAAAAATTCATGATAAAAATATCAGTATATAAATGTTTTTAGTTACAATATCTTTAATGAATTCTTTTAGTTTTGATATGATATTTAGAGACAAAAATGTTAACTTAAGGAATAGAAAGAATTATACAAGCACAAAACCATAAAGGCAAAAATGTGGTTTTAAAAGAGGAAGATTTATTTAATGAAAAAAAAAAAAACTTATTATCTTGAAAGATAAAAAACAAGTTTTAAAAAGTAGACAAGATGATGTAAAATTTCTCAATTATCAGAAAGGATTGCATATTCAAAAATGTTGCGCAAAAACTTTGTTGCAAAATAGAAAAGGAAGTAAGAAAAAAATTTATAGGTCATAAGAGTCCATTAGGAAACAAACAAAGGTTGGTTAGTAAAAAATTTGAGGAGACAATAAAATGTTTAGATACTTCCGATAATGGAGATAATAAGATAGACAGTATCTCCAGTCTTTTAGAAACTTTAAAAAGTATATTGTTCCTATTTCTATTCATTATCTGTAAAGTAATTATTAAAACTAGCTCAGAATGGCTGAAAACCAGTTCATCAAACTAGAATTTATTGCGACTATGTACTGTGTGTATATATCGCTATATATTATATGCTTATTTCTAGATTAAAAAAGATTTTAAAATTTGTCACTGGTCTTTTTGTTCTACATTACAGTGCAGAATGTGCTTCTGATTCTAGTCAAGACCTCATTGAAACTTTTAGAAACAAAAGTAGACGGAGAAGTAAACTTAATGGCTGTAGCTTATCAATCTTCAAAATTTAAAACAACTGATAAAAATCTTAGATTAAAGCCATAAAACACTCTTTCTTTAAATAAAAAATGTACAATTACAAAAATGTTTTATATTTAAACTACATTAAAAAAAAAATTAAAAATTCCCTTCCCCTCCCCCTTCCAATCTTTCAAATGTACACATGATTGTAAATAATTAAGATCAACTCTTACCCTCATTTTCACTAAAAAACAAAACATAATCTAAAAGTAGATAGATCAAGCTACAAAAATAACTTTCAATGTATTTTTGGAAAATTTGTTAAGTGACCCTACCCCTACTTTAAATGCACAAACTTAAATTTTTTGCATTTTTAGACAGTTGGGACCAAATTTTCATCTGCACTGGTGGGGGAGGTTTTTTTCGATTTGGAAAGAAGTATTATTATTTTAAGTTAATAGTTAAAGTATAAGTTCATTTTTTGCCGCTATGCCATTTCCGAAAAAATGAAATGTGCTTTTAGTCATATCCTTAATATATATATATATATATATATATATATATATATATATATATATATATATATATATATATATATATATATATATATATATATATATATATATATATATATATATATATATATATATATATATATTAAGGATATGACTAAAAGCACATTTCATTTTATATATATATATATATATATATATATATATATATATATATATATATATATATATAATAATAATAATAATAATAATTATTATTATTATTATATTATTTATTTTCCAATAAAATAACAAAAAATAAAAAATCAAGTTCTAATAAAAATTAACTAATCAGTTTTAAGAATTTGCACATACAACCATTAATAAAAATACATCTGTAAGATACGGATTTTTATAGCCATAATTGTTAGCTTCACTTGGTGTGTTAGTGTTTGCCTAAAATATATATAAAAAAGAATATATAAATAATTTAGTTAAAAATAGATTGTTATATTTTTATAAGGAAATTTTAGTATTGGTACAAAAAATTGATTTTATTCTAATGCAAAATTATTTGCTTATTTTAAAAGATAAACATTTAATAAGTTTTATTTTAAAAGTTCATAAAATAAGAATTTATATCGGTAAATATTTTATAAGAAATCTAGAAACTCTTTATATATTTTTTTCTTTATACCAAATATAACATGAAATATCTAAACAATTTGTTTAGTTATTCTTTTTTTAATTTTTGCAAAACTCGGATAAAAATATGAATAAAATATTTTAGATATTTTAAGCTTGTTTATTAATATCACTTTTTTATTTGGTGATAAACCTGGCAAAAAGAATAAATAGGGCAACACTTCCAAGGCAAATCCTAATAATTTTACAATACAATAGGTTGCTACCATACTTGTGGTTATTGGCAAAAGCAGTTCCAAAGACACAAAGCCACATGGGTCCCATTAATCTAAAAGCAACTTTTTTTGGGAGTAGGCTAACTTTTGGAGGTTGCTACTTTAAAAAGTTTCACATATATATATATATATATATATAAATATATATAAATATATATATATATATATATATATATATATATATATATATATATATATATATATATATATATATATATATATATATATATATATATATGTATATATATATATACATATATATATATATATATATATATATATATATATATATATATATATATATATATATATATATATACACACACATATATATATATATATACACACACACACATATATATATATATATATATATACACATATATATATATATACACACACACACACACACACACACACACACACACACACACACACACACACACACACACATATATATATATATATATATATATGTATATATATATACACACATATATATTTATATACACACACACACACACAAACGCGCAGGGTGTAAATAAGCCCTATGGGGCCCACTTCAAATATTCCTAAATACTCATAAATTAAAATTCCCAATTTAAAATTGAAAAAAATCCTATTCTCCATATAAAATTTACCCAATTAAAGTTTAATAATAATTAAAAATTATTGAAAATTAATTACTTTTAAAAACTAATAAAAAAATAGCATAAAAAATTATAATTTATTGTTTAAAACTTGAAATAAAATTGCCGCTATAACTGCAAAAATGTAAATGTAACAAATTTATTCCTATTCAAAACCCTGATACATATATTAGAAAAAATATTTAAAAAAACTTTGCGATGTAAATACAGGGAAAAAAAAAAAAAGGGTGGCCAGCGAAAAGCTATTTTGAAATTCCAGGATATTTCCAGGACTTTTCAAAGATAATTTGGGGTTTTTCAAGGATATATTGATCTTTTCTTGAACAGAAAAGAACAAAATGTTGTCTTCTAAATGTTTTATATATATAGTATGGTACAAGTTCAAAAATAGTTTATATTGTATGTAGAGTTGCAACCCCAAAAAAAACGGTGTGTTTTTTTTAAAAAAACACGTTTTTTTTGCAAAAAAACAGACTGGTTCTAAAAACATGTTTTTTATAGTTTTTTTTGCTTTTTTTTAGTATTCATTAAATTTTAGATAATAATAATACTTGAAACAGTTCCAGTGCCCTTAACCCTACAAAATACAAATGTTTTCTATTTAATAAAACGCATATTAACTTATATAATAGCTGTTACAAACTAATCACCAATATTAAAAAAAAACAGTATTAAATATTTAAAAAAGTAATTTTTTAAATAAATCTCAAAAAAACTATACTATTAGCTACTAGTTGATTGTAAGTATAATACTACTGAATGAAGGAAATAAAAATGTTATTTTAGCAGTGTTATTTCATTCATAAAAATGAATGAAATAACACTGCATTGCAAAATACAAAATTGAACCAACTGTTAAACTTTTGTATATTACTTTTTTAAATTTTTAATATTTAATTTCTTTATTTTATTTTAAATTGCAATTAGATAGTTAAAATTTTATTTATTCAAACAATATTCCAGTAAATAAAAATAACACAATGATTAACTTTGTCTAATGAAAAAACATTTATATTAAACAATTTGTAATCTATTAATTATTTTTAATTAAAAAAAAAAAAGAAATCTAAAAAAATATGCCAGGCAGTAAGAAATGTTTTGTAGCTACATTGTTCAATGAGGCACCTTTAGAATCTGGAGGTTCTAAAATTCAACAAGTTATATGCAAATTTTGCAGCTTAAAGCTATCAAAAACTGGCACTCGAATGACTGAGCACATTGCAAAATGTATGAAATGTGGCGATCAAATAAAAAACAAATATTTGAACGATATGCCTTTTAAACAGAAGAAAGTTCAAACTGAACTAATGATGGAAGAAGATATTCCTGAAAACTTACCTATTCAAGATATGAAAAAAGAGAAAAAAATATGTTTATCATCTGCTATTCCACAAGTTCCAATTGAATCTTTCTTTCCAACACCAAGCTGTTTTGGAAACCAAAGTAGGTCTACAACCCCTAAGTTTGGAGACTGTAAGGCAAATAAAACCAAATCAGATAAGCCTCCCTTAAAACGATTGTATTCTTCAACAAGAGTTCCATTCACAACTCAGAAAAATAAAATTGCATCCGGATACGGATGCAATTTTATTATAGTTGTGGATGCAATACGGATTTGACTTTACAATAGAAGACCTTAATGAACAAGAAAGCCAGAATACAGAATCTGTTATTAATTAAAAATAAATCTTTTAAATGATGTACTATATATTTATCATATATCATGTTATTAATATATATTATATTACATTTATAATAAAAATAAAAATTAAATAAAAGTAAATAATTTTTTTTTTAATCTAAAAAACAAAAAAAACCATAAAAAACACAAAAAACACATGTTTTTTTTGCAAAAAAAACACAATTAAAAAAAAACGGTTTTTTTTTGCAACTCTAATTGTATGTATATAGATACACTAAGTTATCAAACACTTCTATTTAATCTCTTAGATGTTCAAGTTTTTTTTTAGTGAAATATCAAAATCTTTAATTGTTTTTTTTTTTCTTTCTAAAATTGTGTTTTTAAAGGAGTTTGTTTTTGTAAGGATAGTAAAGTTTCACTTTTCTTCTGCTTCAATGCTTAACTTGTCAGCATCAGTTTTAAGAACTTTAATTATAAAGAAACATAAAATAAATTTTTCTGTTTCTTTATAATTACAAATTCTTTATCAATCAATTTAAGCTTCTTGCTTACTTAACGTCTACCTTTAACTGATCCTTATTTCCTTCAACAGTGAATTGTACCTATTTTATGCTAAGCTTCAGAATTCTTGAAGATTTTCAACTAAGAACTGCTTGTTAACACTAAATCCTCGTTCTACTGCCTATTGGCCATGAGATAAAACAATTCATTAAAAGACTCAAATTTATTTATTATAATTTCAAAGACTCTAAATCAAAAACATTCTGCACCAAAAAATTCATTAAATTGCTGTTTTGCATCATCAGCATCGTCAGTTGAAAGCCATTTTAATACACTTAATCTTTCAGCAAGACCCTTGAATTTCAGAGTGGATACTTGTTTTAAACCATTTGGAGACAAAGATGAAGCATTCCTCTTTAAAGAATACTTCGAAGGACATCTTTCTTGTAAATTTTGTAATAACATGATAATCTGCCTATATTCTTTTTTAAATTCTAATTTCTTTTCTGGTTAACAATGAAAAGAACTTAGCATTTTAGTACTGCTCCTATGTCAATTTGGTTTAATTATAGTTGGTTAATTTGATTTCTCTATTTCAATCTTTGGTAAAATAAATGCTGTTGTAGCTTCTTTTAAAATATTATGTTTGAGAATCATTTTCATCAAATTTTGAAAAGCTGGTCTCGATAGTATGGTGCTAATCCAAAATTAATAAGATAACCACATTTTGTTTTGCTTAATCCAAACTTTGATGCTATTGTACTGTCAGAAAATAAGAAATAAAATATTTCATTTAAATTTAAGCATGATCTAAATAAAAATATGACATTACGAAATTCAAGCTCCTTATAATTTCTGCCTTCCAGAGCAGGAAATTGAAGATACTCAATAGTAGGCTGTGCTGATTTGTAGTTTATATATCTTTAAATTAGGAGAGCTTTTATGTAAGTTACTGATAGAACACAGTCAATTAATTTGCTACAAGCTTTCCAAAATTCAGGAAAACATATATTTAAATAAAAGTAAAAAAACTTAAATTAAAATAAAAAAACTATTTAACTACAAGTAAAGAATATATCTACTGCATTATGTGTCTTTGCATTAAATTTATGTTTCTTACTAGTTGGATGAGAATACAAGGCAGATACTCCCATGTTAGAAATATCAATACACGTTCTGCACTAACTATAGCTTGCTTTTTTATAATTTAAAATACAAAATTTTACCCAAGAAGAATAATTTTAGAGAATACTTTTATTTACTTTTTTTTTTGCAAGTCATAAAATACATAATTAATAAATTCAGTAGTAATCTACGCAATATTAATATTTCTATAAAAGGTAAAAACATGATAATAAAATATTGAACTATTTCAGAAAAAAGTTCAAGAAATTCCAGGATTTATTGCTAATAGGGTTGTTTTTCCAGGATTTTTCCAGGACCTATCAAATTCCAGGACATTTCCAGGTTTTCAAGGACCACTGGCCACCCAGTGAAAAACTTTTAAACTTAAGCTCCTTTTTTATGCAAATATTTACAATTTTTATTGAGAAATAATATTATATAAATAAAATTAAATTAAAAAAAAAATACTTTTGTTCCAAAGTCTCTCCAATTAGAATTTGAGCTTGAATTTTGTACTTTTTGATTAGATCGCAAATTTCTAAAAAAAAGTTCATGCTAAATATAAGTCTTAATAACAAATAATAAAAATTCAGACATAATTGTCAAAAGAAATTTTTAAATAAAATTGTTGTGATAAGCAGTTTATTTATATTTTTTAATTATATGGGAAAAAAGCCACAAACTATTGATTTAAAATAATTAAAAATATTATAAGACACTAAAAAGACAATTTTAAAAAACTTATACTTATAAAAACTGTTTATTTCTTAAAACATTTATAACATTTAAGCTGCTTACAATTTATGTACGCATTAAGTAATTTAATGACTAATGCAATGTTTTCTTTCTTTTCAATATTCTTTTTGACTTTTAAAATAATAAAAATTAAGACTTCAATAACTTTATAAAAATTTTATTAAAAACTGTTTAAAATAACCCATAGTGAATGAAATTTATTTATTAAACATAATTTTTTTAAAATTATAGTTAATGATTAAAAATATATATTTTTAAAAATGTTTTTTAAAATATAATATGGTTTTTAATCAAAAAAGTATAACATCAAAATTATGTTAACCGTAATCTCTTCTTTAATTATCTTTAATTTAAAATGTGCCTTAAAATCACTTTAAAAATTATTAACTTTTAGTAAGAACAGATTTGCTAATATTTAAATCAAAATTTTCTAATTAAAATAATAGTGAATAAGTTTATTATATACTTATGTTTATATATTCAAATAGTTTATTAACTAGGTTTATTAAATGCTTTTCGAATTTGTTTATTAAATGCTTATGTTTTTAATTCAAACAAAAGGGGTCGCTCATAAAGTATATACGTTTTTTTTTTGTCCATCCCCTCCCCCCACATTTTGCAATATGCTTTTTTATGATGGTGGAGTACCCTCTATCTTCCTAAAAGTACCTACGCTTTTAACCTATTTATTTATTCTGAGAGTACGTACTTTACGGACGATCCCCAAGACGTAAAACTATTTTGTTAATTTTACAAATATATTGCGATTTAATATATGTAAATATATTATGTAATGAAAATATTATTTAAAATTGTTTAAAATGTTTGAACATTTAATTACTAATTATTTATAACGTTAATAACTACTAAAATCAAATTTACGAAAATATAGTTAATAAATGTTTAAAATACTTTAAAAAATTTTCAATGATTATTTATTGATAGCGTGGTATTTGAAACAAAAGAGTTTATTAAAGTCTTAAGTAAAATAGCTTTCTTATTGAATCTAAAGTAACATTGTCCAACAGTAAATTCATGCATTCAAGAGAAATGCCTTTAAATTAACTCCTTATTATAGGATAAAACTTAACAAGATAAACATAAATGATTATTGAAAACATGGTTATTAAAAATTATTGTTGCAGCATCCGTTTACTTAGGGGGAAGGGGGAGGGGGAGGAAAAGGGGGGTCAAAACATCATCCCCCCCCTCCCTTCAATGTTGCCAAAAATAAAATCGGTATCCTTAAATAAACTCTGGGTTCTTCACTGCCAGGGCCTTTTTATGACCATGCAAGTAATATTTTGTTATAACAATAGGACCATGGTTTATAACATTTTAAAAATGCACTGAAAAAAAGATTTTTAACAACATTAAAAATAAATAACTCCGACAGGTTTATCATTACTAATGTTTTTATATTAGCAAAACGCTTTTAAATAAAGTAACTAATGATTTTAATTAAAGAATCGATGAAAATTGTATAAACTTTTATTTATATTATTATTATTTTATACTAGCTGATCTGACCCATGAAAATACGGGTCTTTGTAAGTCTATTCTATACTTTTAAGCTTTTCTATACTTATCCTAGCTTTGTGGACCTATAAAATACTGGTCTTTACCAAACATACCATTACTATACTTATCTATTCCACACCAATTATTTGTATGCCTATTATTTGTTAAATTCAATATTTTTACGTAAAATAATTCATTTTGAAAAATTGCTATAAGAGCAAAAAAAAAATAACATGGGCAATTTTTCCACATACCTAGAGCTTATATGAGATTTATAATTAAGTTTGTTTTTCCCCAAATCATTGATAGCTCAGTGGTTTAGTGCACATTTAAAAGTTAAAAAAAATATTCTTAACATTGCTAAGCAGTAATGTAAACAATAAAAAAAATAATTAAATTGTTTCTTTTGACAGAAATGCATCGCTTTGGAAAAGTTAAAAAAAATACTGCTGTAGCCATAACTTTTCTGCAACCACCAGAATCCACAACGAATGTTAACTACACTATTTACTAAATTTAAATTTGTCAAATTATTATACTATAAAATATATTTTAAAATAAATATAAACATATTTATATTATACTCAAAGTGAATTAATTTTTTATTTTGCAAATTAAAAGCTTTAACTGGTTAAATAACATTTAAAACTAGACTTCAACTAACTTATTTTCTAAAATGTTAAATCTAAAATAAAATAATAAATTAAAAAAACAAGAGGAAGCATAACTGCTCTACAACCCCTAATTATGTTTAATGCTTCAGGTCTTTCTATTTCTTAAGTGTTTATAAAAGAGAGAGAAAAAAATATAATGGTTAGTAGCGCAAGTTGTTAGTAGTTTTTAAGAATGGCATCTAATGCAAAAAAATAAAACTATATAATAAACCTACAGCGGTTGTTTCTTTGAAGGCATTTACAGAGGGAACGAATGTGGTAACAAAACATCAGATAAAAATTATAATCATTGACTTACTTTGTTCAATCCAGAAAATACTTTATACTAAATTTTCAATTATAATATTTGATTTAATGTTTGTTCTGAGATAAATAGTTAAATATGTGCAATTTTTTTCCGACTCTATCAAGAAACTCTCAACATATTATTTGAAATTCAATTACTTTAATTCAAAATTGTTAAATTTTAATAAAGGACAATCATCATCTCAAAGGGTGCATTGACAAATTAGCGGTACTAATCGATAATGAAAACCCTACTGAAGGAACTGGAAATGGCTGACTTATTATCAATGATATCCCAAACTTATTGACTGCTGAACAAAACATACGTGAAGCGTATATAAAGATTATCAGAACAGCGTATGAACTGGCTTTAAAACCAAATATGCTCCATAACAACTTTGAGATCCTGATTAAATGTTACTTAACGGTGTATGTTTTGTTGAAGGAAAAACCAACAATAAAGCAGGTTTTGATTTTCATGGTTCAATTTGATAATTACTAATAGAATTGATAAAAATCATATTAAATTTTCATTTTTTTTGTTTGTAAATTATTTTTTGCTTAAATATTTTTCACTTTTGAATTTCAGCATGTATTTTCATCTTACGCATAGCAGATGCCATTAATAATAAAGTTGCAATAACTGTCAATGAAAAAAAATTTCTCTAATCTTTCTGATGGATCTCAAGCCAGAAAAACTAAAGATGAGAAAAAGTTGGTTCTTGTGCACATTGAGCAAAAAGGGACCCCTGCCTATTGTGCTGTATCTCTACTAGAGATAAATAATATGGGAGGTACGGGCACTAATGCTATTAAAAAAGCTATTGATAGCATTTTCAATGAAACGGGGTTATTCCTAAACTGATGAAGCGTACAAAAACAAAGTTGTCAGTGTTACTTTCGGCTAAGCTAGCGTCGATTTGAGCATTTATAATGGTGTGTTAACTCAAATGAAAAGCGATAGACCCTAGCTGGCAAAGATTCACTGCGTTAACCACCAATTGGAATTGGCAATAAAAAGTGCTGTAAAAGGAATTGTCCAGTATAAAGAGTATGAACGCTTTTATTAAACTTTATTTAATTTATTTTGCAATTCCAGAAAATTAAAAGGCAAAATTAAAAAAACTGCTGAGGCATTAAACATCATACATTATACATTGCCCAAAATATCAGGAATGTGCTTTGTTAGCCATAGGAAATGCGGATTTAATTAATTATTGCACATTTTTTCATGACTTCAGATTATTTTGTATGGTTTGTAGTTATTTAGACATTTTAGAGAAGTTAAGCCCATTATCCTTGAAAAAATGTACTGACATTTGAAAAAATGTACTGATGGTACATAAATTTAAACCAGCAAGGGATTAACCAAGGCTAGTTAGGTAAATCAAGTAATTAAGAAATCAATGATATTATTGATTCGTATTTAACTAAGTTTAGAATCGCTGAAAAAGTTGGTTTAACCACTCTTGTTTCTTCTTACTTTAAAAGTGATCACGAATTGAAAAAATCCAATCCAGAGTTTGTAGAGATAGAGCTTGAAAGTATTGCTAACCTTAATGTTGAAAGTTCTGCTGCACAAGTAAGAAGATCTGCAATCGACATCATTTCACCATTGATAGATTTAAGACTTAGCTCTTTGTTAAACCCTTTGAAGCAATGGATTGGTTAGACCCACAACTTTGGACAAAAGATAATATGTATGGTGATGTCATATCTTTACTGCTAAGCAAATACAAAATTCCTTTAGAAGTTGCAAAATTAGACCTAAAACTGGTTAGTTCCGAATGGAAACAGCAAAACTAAATATAAACACAGATTATAATTAAGTCATAGCTTTACAACTATAGCAGAAAATGTTTTGTGCCATAAAATAGAGTACCTAAACCTAAATCATTTAGTTAAACTTGTCATGTGCATGTCTTGCTTGAATTAGTCAGTGAAACATGTTTTCAGTATCTTGACTATACTGCTAACTCATCTCTGCTTAAAGATGAACCAATAGAGTATGGAAAACTCCATAATAATAGCCAAGAATAACCCAAAATTTACCTTTCATAAACAAAAGAAGATTTTAAATAGTGCCATCGATATCTACCTAAGTTGCCGAAGAGTTTTTCGCCATGGATGAAGGTAGCTGATGCTAAAATTGAAACAAACAACAGTAACGATGAAAGCAGCAGCAATGGTAGTTTTGCTCCAAATTTGGAATCAGACTATTAAAAATTTTACATTTATATTTCTTATTACTTACATTCAGGCAAAAAAAAAAAAAAAATTCTTTTCCAGTATATTACCTTTG